AGTAGTTTATATGGTTGAATACTGTCCATACTACARTGACATTGGAAACAACAATAAGAAGCAACAAGTGTGTGAGAGAAAATATAACAGAATAGCACCAACAAATGAATCACTACTAGCCACAGGTAGCACTAAGACCACAAGTTGGCAACTGGTTGCCAAGGCCACAACAAGTTGGCAACTGGCTTAGCTATTGGTAAACACCATGTTTTGCATTTGCATTGACAACAGAAATGAGGTCTCAATGTACTATTCAGGCTGAAAAAGCTGATTTCTTTTGAGAATATCAACCCTTGTTGGGTATTTTGTTCAGTTATTTTGCTCTGCTGAGCTATTAGTACTAATAGTACTAGTAGTAGAGAAAAGCAAATCTATTCTTGCTTGTTGTGTTCCTGACAAAGGCAACATAGATACTAGTACCACCAATATCAAGAATGGCACAAAGAATTTGGAGTGATTGTTTTGAATCAAACCTCCAAAGTAGATGTATGCACCAAACCAGTAGGCCAAAACATAACAACRAGAAGTGAAGTTATATTAGTCTTGTTTCATTGACACTGATGTAATACACCTTTCTTTGATCAGGATTGGTAGAGTCACAGAACTTGAGGATCTTTGTTTTCTTTATCTGCTGCCCTTTCTTTGCATCAGTAGATTCAGCTTCTGCCACTGCTGGTTAATCTTGAAAGGTGATAGTAACAGATGCTGCTCCCTTGCTATCAGCAGAAAGATTCTTCTGTAGAAAGGACAATAAGAACAAAAGTGTCAGCCCTTTCACCTCATCAGTAAAAGAATCATCCAGTATTTTCCTTCTTGCAGTATCATGGGAATGACAACCTAGTACTACTAGGATTGGTGCACCTCCTTCAGGTGAAGAATGGTATTGGACTGAGGAGGGAGAAGTTTTTCCTGTGCACCATCACCCAGCTTCCACCATCAAGAAGCAAGAAGCTGGGTTTGCCATTCTTGCACACCAATTACTACTGAAAGTAGCATTATTATTAGTATTTGCAGTATTGTTGGATCACACACAACAGCATGAGACTTTCTTAATTCAGAGAGATCCTTATGATCAAGGAGGACTTTTTCTTTACTAGTATTCTCGAAGGAAAATTACAGCAGTAGTAGGTGACTAGCTAGTACCTACTTGTTGGTGTTGTAATACTAACACTAGTGGCAACAGGAGGAGGAGATCCTTGTCCTCTCCTACTATGATTATTTGACATTTTTGTTTGGGACTGTTTTGTATTTTCTTCTTCAGAAATTAAAGGAAATGAATGAGCAGAAAGGTTTTTTAATCACCATAAAATGGTGGCAGATTTGGAATGCTACATATGGAACATTCTTAATGTTGCTAGTAGAATTAACCTTCCAAATGTTAATTTAGTGTTTGGAATGTTAGTATATCACTGTAGGTCTATGTACTAGTAGATCAACTACTACTACTATTTTGTAGCTACTCCTACTCCTACTGCTAGTACTAGTACTAGTAGTAGCAAACTCAACAACATTTGACATCAGAGTCACTAATACACCAGATTCTTCCTCCTATGGAAAGAAGCATCCAATGCAGGTGGTGCTCCAAGCCCAGGAGAAGGACAATGAGGAGAAGTGCAATGATGTCTGTCACCAGGCTCATCGTCACTTAACTCCTCTTGTCTATTATAGTATAGATGGATGGTGGGCCCAAAGACAGTTGGAGCTTGAAAGCAACTTCTTGCCTCCAGGCTTCCTTCCAAGTGGGGAAGAAACTAGTACTCTAATGTATGTAGATTAGTAAGATCTAGAATTGGCTTTGAACTTGCATTGCAACACCACATTGAAATCTCCCACTCTGC